GGGGTTTGCTCTGGATCATCGCCTTTGGAAGCTCTCAAAAATGCGGGCGATGCTGTGGTGTTGAAGAAGATGGACTCACAAACACTCAAGGTATGATGGGGTTGAAATAATAATTGGAGAGGAAGGGGGGGTTGTTGGGAGGTGTTTGGGTATGAAAAAGGGTGGGGAAAAGGGTTGAGTACTTAGTTGGCTCTTGCATCAAGGCATAGCACAGGGATCTTGCGCTTGATAGGAATACACCTGAGAGTCAGAGAGAGGCTGCGGGCAGGTAACTAGTTAGTCGACTCAAAGTCTCTTTCGTGCCCATCCTCAAAGTCTCTTTCGTGCCCATCCTCAAAGTCTCTTTCGTGCCCATCCTCTTGTGAAATGCAGGTTCACATCTTCAGAGCAGCAGACTTCGAAGAGCAGGCACTGGAGATCAAGTCGGAGGGCAGGTCAGGCAGTAGCAAGAGGAGAATGAAGACCTGAAAAGGATGAACCGATGGTGCTGTGTGTGTGCATCACTTGATCTGACCTACTCACAGCACAACACTCCTTGCTTCTGTCGTTAGTCGGACCCATACAGATCCTGTGGTGTGGAGCCTTAGGTGATTGCCCCTTGTTGGGGTGTGTAGCTCATCCCAACACACTTGCTGGTTGTTTGTACCGTCTTTCTTTCCTTAACACTAACCAAAATATTCATGCTTGTGATATTCTAACAACTACCATAATGTTCCAGAAGCTAATGGGTTTAGCTTTGAAGCAGGCCCCTAGATTCGTTTTGAGGTAGTCTGAGGCCTCAGAGTACACCCCTCCTGGAAGAGAAGGGGATGGAATCTGGGAGAAGGGGATGGAATCTGGGAGAAGGGGATGGAATTTGGGAGAAGGGGATGGAATCTGGGAGAAGGGGATGGAATCTGGAAGAAGGGGATGGAATCCGGGGGAAGGGGATGGAATCTGGGAGAAGGGGATGGAATATGGGAGAAGGGGATGGAATCTGGGAGAAGGGGATGGAATCTGGGAGAAGGGGATCGAATCTGGGAGAAGGGGATGGAATCTGGGAGAAGGGGATGGAATTTGTGAGAAGGGGATGGAATCTGGGAGAAGGAGATGGAATCTGGAAGAAGGGGGTGGAATCTGGGAGAAGGAGATGGAATGAGGGAGAAGGGAAGATAGACATGTTTCTTATCGAACTTTAATTACACATGGGTGAACGAGAGAGCCGGGTGAATCGAGAAGATTCATGTCCGGTTTGGGAAGAGATAGCTAAGCTAATGCATTAGCATAGATTAACAATCTACTTCATTAACTAATATCTTAAATAATCGCAAAGAAACTATATTAAGCACCATTCGCGATGCAGAAGAACGTTACCAAGAAGCGACTGAAAAGCTAAATCAAGCTCGAGCTCGTTTAGAACAAGCAAAACAAAAAGCAGAAGAAATCCGTGTTAATAGCATATTGCAAATTGAGAGAGAAAAAGAAGAATTAATCAAGGCTGCTGATGAGGATTCTAAACGTTTAGAAGATTCTAAAAATATGACTATTCGTTTTGAAGAACAAAAAGCCATTGTACA